ATAGTTAAACAAGGTAATGGAAAATAATCTATCGTCTGCATCAAAATTATCGTCTGTTTTATATTAATAAGAAACGTTTTTTAATCGTATTTATTAGATGTCGGATAACTAGGCGTCTAGTCGTGTTAAATTTACAAAAGTTACAAGTATAAGCATTTTCAAAAATGTAAGGAATCGCCGTTCAGTCGGGTACTCGGAAATTTTGTTCGTGAAATAGACTCTTTTAAACAATAGAGCTAAAAAGAGATTATGTTCTTGTTTTTGTTTTGTTTGTTTTTTGAAGAGGATATCACAAATACTATCTTCCCCTCGAAAGCCTACACACTCGTTTCGAGCTTAAGTTTGAAGGCAGTAGCCCAACAAAACACATGGGAAATGACGTACCCATAGGCGCCCATTATTGTTTAGTTCTTTTGCAGTCCATTTTGTTATCATGTTTCATTGAATTGTCTATTTTAATTAGCTCAGGGCAGGCGGTCTGCAGGTGTAGAAATGGCCAAATCTTGTTTACTGTATATGTCGCCCTGCAGAAACAGCGGCAGTTATAATTTCACCCAGAAATCGGTGAATTAGCGATTTTAATTTTGTTTTCAATCGTTTAATATCATTTTTTGAAAGCTGAAAGTTTGCAGATTTATTATTTTTACGTTTTCTGTTATTATTTTTTCATTTTACATTTTAACAATTCGTACGAGAAAAGCTAAGAATCTTGAAACAAATCCTATTTGTTTAAAAATGTTTAAATATTCATGTTCCGTTATTTTTCCACATGTAATGTCCGATATCAAGGCACTGTAGGTTAATATAGAACCGAACTATCAAACTTGTACTTCGACATTATGGCTTACAATTATCAAACATATTGATAATTGTCAGCCATCGAAGTACAAGTTCCACGTACAAGAAATGGATTGCATCGAAAACTGAGTAACAAAATATTAATACTAATGATAAATATCTGGAAAAAGTGTCTTGCTTGATTCAAAATCTGACACATTTTAATTAAGCCGGTAGCACATGAAATTGAATAATATACAAGAGGGTTGATTAAATCAGCTTTAAAATATTCATAAATGTGATATTCCCAAAAAGACAGTATTGTTGTAATAAAGTCGTTTAGGGTCAACATTACATTGAGCACACTAAGTGAGACAAGTATATCTTCCTCTTTTCTAAAATTGCTTAAGGTTTTTGACAAAAGGGAAGTTTATTTCTCAGCCTTATTTTTTACTTAAACAATTTATTATCATTACCTAAGAACGAAAAATTTCTTTAAAATAAACTTATGTCAAGTATCTTGACAACTTCCAAAAAGTGTAAAAAATACTTTAAATTTAAGATATCCTGTGAAAATGTAATCCTGTTCAAAACCTAGTTTAAAAAATATTTTCTGCAATTTCTTACATTTTTGAAGGTAATCTACAATCAGTTTTAAATTTTGATAATTGAAGCCCCGCTCCTACTTTGCTTTTATCATATTCTTCAGACCTGAGAAAGCTAGAACTAGCTGCTGCTTGGACAGCACATAAAAGGTTGAATAAACATGACTAGACCCCTTATTTTGTTAAAAATATACTTTAAACCGTTTTGGTAGAATTTATTAAATAAGACAATTGAAAACAATTATTATAAAATGTACCTAAAATTGAAGATTATACATAATATACAATAGGTAGAATTTTTATCATTCGAAATAGAACTTAACTCCCCTCATTTATAATCATGTGCTTTTATTAAACAATGTGTTTATTTAAGGTTAGTAGAACTAGCACATGCTTTGGCAGTTTATTTCTAAAGTCAACAACATCCTGGAATAAGTTCAACGATCTATTTTTGCCTTTATATTAAATAAATTTAAAGGTTCTTCTCAAATAATGTGACCACAAACAAACTCAAAAGGTGAGATAAAAGAAATTCTCGTACGGATTCTTTGCGAATTATAGTTTCTCAATCTTCATCAAAGTATAAACATATTTTTAAGTTTTTATTTGAGTTTGTTCTAAAGCGACTTAACTTCAAGGATGATAACGTTAACACGTGTACGGCTTAATTTGAGCATGAACACTCAATATAAAGATAGGTTTTAATTGTCATTCTAAATAATGTAAGTCTACGGAAGAATAAATACAGTAGCCTGACCTTGAGAAAATACAACACGCTTATTGATTGGATGAACAAGTTAAATGTACCGTGAATCGTATTTCGCCTAATAAAGCGGTGTACTAGATAGAGAAGGACTTCAACTCGCATTTGTTCCGTGTTTATGTTTGGTTGTGAATCGAATCATAATTCTTATATATGATATTTGAATCGAATCGTCACCCACTAAACCAGTTTTTCATGCATCGGAACAATCGTTGCACATCTAGAAATTATTTAAAGTTAAATATTCATAACGGTCTTATCCTAAAGAATGTTCTGTTATAATATTATGTGAATCCATTCAATTATATCAAAGTAATAGCAAGTAACAGCAAAGGCAAGAAAGTTGAATAATTGGATCATCATTGTTAATGTGATTTATGGGTGAAGGTCAAAGTCTGTCAAATAAACTTATAAGTATATCCTAAAATTATTTTTCAAGTTTGAAGACAATCCAATTAGTCCAAAAAAATTCTTATACCACTTATAACAACAATCAGGAAAAATACAAGTAAAATTTAGACATTTGACCTTAAATGTTTAAGTCATTAAGAACAGAAGGTTAGTCTGGGCTACTTGAATGTCTTGTCCAAAGGGCTTTTCTGATAAAGTATGACGACAATACATCAAGAACTTAAAAAATATGATGTAGGTACAAGTTTACGTACGGAAACTCTGGGTAACGCTGACATGACTGGTACAATACCTTTTTTTAATTTCAAGCTAAAAACAACTGAAATGTCTAGTTAAGCATCATATTCTGCAATGCAACACTAGGTTTTTAAATGAAAAAAGATATTTGGATATAACAATATCTTTTTTACGTTGTCACTGCAATTCATCATTAAAGAGCAAAACAGGTATAGATCAGTGCATCTGACAGCAAAGATTAACGGGCGATATTTTTTCTTCTCTCACACATTGCTAGTGGAGCTTACTTTCAATACATTATCATCTTTATTCTACACATTATTTATACATTATGTATGGTTAAAGGAAGTTGTTTACTTGTACCTTGTTTGATATTTAGGAAAAAGACTCTCATTTCTTAAAAATATATTGTAAATAGACACGCACTCAAAGATTTCTTTCACTGCATATCAATTATAAACGCTTACATTTTATCCTATAAAGTTAAAACGCTAAAGACGGCTGATAAATATACAGTTAAATTTATTATGACGTCAAAATAAGGCAGCTAAATTGTTCATATAAACATCTGTGTTCAATCCACAATGTTATAAAGTAAGTTTTCATAAATGCTATCTCATTCGAACTACAACTTTCAAAAAGTATGTATTGACCAATTTGCTAAATACTCTGATATTAACTATTTTGTTTTGCTTTTTTAGCAAGTCAGGTATTATAATTCCATTTATTCATTAATTGTTGTTATTATTATAATTATAATTATTTCTAGATATTTCTAGAGCGTGACACATGAAGATATAGAACCAAAGTATCTTTATATATCATTCGGCCTATAGAACAAATGAAAAAAATGGCTGCCCTAAAGAACGACCAGAGCGTCAAAATAAAACACGATACAGCCTCTGCTTGGTTTGAATAAGCTTGTACATGAACGATAGAAATTAAATTCTAGCTACCGTCCACGTCCCCTAGCACCAACTTTACCATTTTTGAGGATACAAACATGAAAATTGTTCAATTTTGAATGATTACGCATCCGCATATTTATTTATACAGCTGTCATTATGCTCACTTTAAAGCGACATACAAGCGGCGTATGTTCCGGAAGTATAAACAGCGAAAATTTTACAGTAAGATTACTGAAAAGGAACAAGGATCTATGTGTAAGAAGGTATAATGTTAAACTTATACATAGACAAACGTACGTACACGTAATTTTGAGCAGTACACATTTATACTAATCAATGATATCAGTATGAAAGGAATTCAAATTGCATCCGTAAAAGGTTACATCGTATTTCACTTCAGCGTTGAAACATCTTTATGGTCCATCGGGATCATTTATTCTAAGTCTTTGAAAATTGAGTAGCGCTTAAGCCGGGACTAGGAGGCGTGGGGGAATTTACACTTTTTCAGAATCCTTCTTGTATAGACTCAATAAAACCGAGTCTGCATTTTTCATGTAATTTTTTGTGATTAAAGTGTATAAAGCTATATATCTGATGCAAAAAACTATTGTTTGAATATTAAAAAAGTATGGTAATTTTATGATTTAAAAGCGAATGGCGTATGCACAAAATCATTGCTACACGGATAAAAACCTTCTTAAAATAGCAAAATAATGTTTTGCTCCAGAATATTTTATTCTGTTTACGTACATTTTTCAAGTGTATTAAAAATCATTAAAGATCTTATAACTCATTTTTTATGTGTTTTTTTTTCATAAATATAATGCTCAAATGAAGATTTATCAATATTGTCAGATCAGAAAGGCATTTTTTTTGTAAAGATATTACCGAATTTACATGTCAATAAAGGGAGGTAATTAGGAATTTATTTTCAATAAAGTCTAAGTCAAATGATTACATTTAATGTGAAATGTTTGCATTAATATTTTTAAAAGCATAAGTATATACATATATAAACTTTCACTTAAGTGTGGTAACAACCTTCATTACAACATACAGGATCTTTAAATAACAGAGACATTCTATGTTACATTTATTTTCGAGAATCAACCATATGATAATGCAACCAATATAATTTTACTGTTGATTTTTTCCAAAATATTTCATTAAATAAAGATTTATACCCTTTAATGCTTCCGAGGGATCACAGTTTATCTTATTTTTATTATGATAAGCTATCATATATTATGCTGATATATATGTTATAATTCAAAAACATTTTTAACAGGCAAAGGTTACCTGGTTGACATAATATGCCAACATCGTCACTATGAGCACAATTATGTTCTCCCCAAGGGTAATGCGAACATTGAATTAAGCTTGTTTCAGTCCCCTTACAACCAACACCATCTAAATGTATCGGTAATGTTCCCGCTCCGAAGTGTGCTGACCGGAATACCAGAGGAGTAGTCCTGAAATGAAAATTTATCTTATTAACCAAACTCATATATAATTCAATTAAATTAAATTATAATATAATAAAATTTCGAGAAGTAAGGTAGCTTATTATTTATTACTATTTCATTGTTTTAAATTAGTCTATGATGCATTTTAAAGATTAAGAACTTAGACTAAACCAATTGAATCTTATTTATTGTCAACAATGTAGTGAGACATATGTGACCAATAGTACTATTCATTACACTGATAATTCACATTGAGAAAAACTACTTTTATTCTAATTAAAAAGTGGTTGTCATACTATGTTTATTCATGGAAGAAAAGTGTCTTACTAATAAGCGTTTAAACTATCGCGATAGAACAATAACTAAGTATTAGCATAATTATATAAGAGCACAAATGAGGATAAACTTGCGTATATTTTGTTCCATAAATCCAGACAGCCTATGCTTTGATAGTATGTGTAAATAAAAGTCTCTTCCATGATCGTACATAGTTTTCGATACCTTACTGTTGTCTATATTATGTTTTAATTATATATGAGAATGCATGACATCCATATAGATAGAACGCCTGTACTATGTAAAAAGTCTCATGTCTTCAAATCGTTGGACTACAGTGTTTAAATATTTGCTATCACGTTTGAATATTTAGTAAATTACTGATACTCGTTCATAGAGCCTTTCTAAACATTGTTCTGTATCCAGGTTTTATAGAAGACTTTTGGGTTAAAAAATATTATGACGTCTTATTATACTTCTGCAAATGACGGCTGGTATAGTTAATACATTGACAAAATGAGTGGCTTATCACAAATAAATTCCTGTAATGCGTATAACCAAAAAGGGTGGAATGCTAAACTAAGAGATCGCTCAGCATAAATGGCGCGAAGATCTTATGTCAAGTAAAATACAGTTTGTATTATTCTACGAATTTCAATTTTGAGATATTTTCCGTCACATTAGCAAGTGATTTTCTGATCGAGGACGTTCATCTACACAATAAATACAATCTTATTTCAATTTTTGTTAATCAAGATCTTTGTTTCATTTCTTATTCATGATTTGAGAATGTTCAATTTACTTTTGACTTTTTTACAATTTAAAATGGGTTATATGATGTACTTTAGTGTTTTGGCTATTCTGCTCTGCTATTTTAAGTGCGTCTAACACGCCCCCACTTCCCCCCTTCTCCTAAAAAAATAATAAAATGTATGAGATATTAAAAATTCGTTTTACTTGAGTTTTTTTTTGGTGGGGACTCTTCAGTTTTAGTGGGGGAGGAATACCTAAGGTGATATTTCCGAGGCACGAACGGGCACATGAGTAGAGCCACCGTCGTTCGTACAAAAGATAGAAAGCTTCTTCACATGAAAATCCAAAGTCCCTGTCGGCATTCGAACCAACAACTGTACGTTCGGGTGAATTGAAATCAACAACCTTCTACCTTAACTACTCAGCAACACAAGCCCCACGTATTTCTTATAATTGTTCGAAAATCAATTGAAAATGTTTCGATAAATCGCAATTTGGTTTGCATTAATAAACTTTTATTCAATGTCACTTTTCGGTTCGTAAGTGCTTTCTTCAGTTTAATTATCTTTCTACTTATTCAACATTTCAAACATTTTCAATAAACCGTCTAATTCATAGTTTTAAATCATATGGCAAGAAAAAAGCCCTTATAAGCATTTTAAGTTTTCGGATCTGACAATTTTTCAGCATTGTATTATGTGTTATCTATTATTGTATGTAAATTTATTTGTGCAAAATGTTTGAAGGAGGATATGTTTAAACTTGTTAAACTGTCATGGCTGTTCTTGTTTAAATGTATTACTCCGCTAAATAAGATGAATAAAGACACCGTATAAAATCAATGTATTGATATTTTCAGTTCCTACAAGTCATCTTTTTATACAAAACAACATTACATCTCGCATTACATCTCACAGACACTAACGACGCAGGTTTTGAATTTTATCTTTATCAATTCTAGTTGATATAGTTTAAATAAGACGAATATTGACCATTCATAAGCAGCGTAATGACGCATTTAAGCATGCAAATTATACATTTATACTCACCTAGCAGCGTTGCAAACTATATAGATTCCAGTCTTATAGGTAAATTAAAATTATGATATATGACATATTAAAGATGCTGAATGTTATGTTATTAATTTTCTAATAAATGCGATAAATTTTCAGGAAAAATTAGAATTAAGGAAAAATACAGAAAATAAAATGAAGAAAATCTTCGACGCTGACTCGGTCTTTCTAAATATAGCACAATGGTGTACGTCATCAGTAAAACATGATCGGTCACATGACCCATCTTTTATGTAGAACAAAACAAACATTGATGCCAAAGACAGCAGCTCATCAAGCACAGTCGGTTATTTTTTTTAATAAATTTTACTCTTTTTTTTAAAGATTAATCTGTACTGGCGACAAACCCGAGAGACTGGTTTCTTCTTCCCCGGTATGATTGTTTACAAGCTGTGTGAGCGAGTGTCAGGAAACCTTAATTTACATATAAGGATATTACTTTTTACATTTAGTTATACCTTCGGATTTTTCCGACAATAACTATGCAATTAATCACATTCTGACCGTCGAAATTGTTTTATTATTCCATTCAAGACCATCTTGAACACATACAAAACTATTTTTTATCAAACGTATATGACTTGTCACAGGACTTTAATGGTACTTGGAGTGAAACTTTTCTTTTAATTTCGTTTCTTCTTTTTCATTTTTTTACCTTAGCTACAGCAGATTCCGAATGAGAACAGCTAGATACGAAAATCGTCTGGAGAAATATTCTCCGTTTAAAACAGCGTTTGTGATTTACTTCTTTTGCCTTGTAAGCATCAAAACTATGTGTAGGTCTGAACGGTGTTCATCTGTTATTTATCACCGATGCGAAATAATTAACTACATAGACCTATGGCATTCAGATCAATTCCTATGCGTCAAACATCCATACAGGTGTAAAAAGCCGATTAATATCTCTGAGACCGATAATTCATCTTAATAAAACATTTATACTTGAATCATTAGTACAAACCCTAATATACTTTATATATAAATTTAAAATCGATATATTACGAGATTTCAAATAGAGTATTCATTGTTTTGAGTAAAAAATAAGCTATGTATTTCACTGAAAAGTGAGAAAATTGCCACGCTCACAATGTATGAAACATCAAAAATAAATATATTTAAAGAGAATGACACAAGACGTTCGGCTACACGAACAAACGCAAACAAATGAAATACTGTGAGTGATATACTGATCCTGGTAAATATCGTGAGCTACTTTAAGTGTTGAAGTTATTGAAGTTGAAATAATTTTAAAGAAAACACAAAAAACCACTAATTCACAATTCTTTCGGTGAAGCTAAACCACAATTTATAAAGGAAAATGTCACATAGAGAAACGTATTCTAAAGAAAGAAAGTAAATTAGTAAATAAAAATGTCTTCGTCTTGGAGTCTATTTGCGTTCATTTGTATGTCATTAAAACAATTAAGCAACATCCCCCTCAATTATCTAAAACCACTTTTACTGTCAACATATGTACGCCTGTCTCATTGTCTTTCTCTGCTGTTAAACCTTAGATTATATCAATTTTATTTACGTAAGTTCTAAGTCTGCAATTGTTATTTATATAGGAAAACTAAAAATAAATGTTCCTGGCAAACGAGTTTTAGAGAATTTTTCAAATGACAATTGAAACAAAAATAAGCATAAAAGATCTATGACAGTTTCGGGTCTTGCAAACTGAACAAGTTTCATCTTAATGAATTTTTTTATGAATATGACCTGTACTTCATTATGATAATAAGATAATTATTACGAAAACGATAATTCTGCCTTACTTGATAATAATAGTTTTATCGTCCTATTTATATGTATAACCTTCTGTTTGACTTCTCACTCTTTTGTAATGTTAATGGGAGTTATTCTCACTGTTTATACAAGTATACCATGTGACTCAGAAATTTGTACATTGGTAACAATACTTTGAACATTAAAATTCTGGTCACGTAGTTTAACTTTAAAAAAAATAAATGACCACCATTTTTCTCTATGCAGCCTCTCATTTTTCTAGTTCGCTACGAAGTGTTTTCAAAAAAGTGAGTGTAACAGCCATATATTTTAGTTGTTTGCAACGCGTCCTAACTGATATCTTTTGGTTGAATAGTCATAAAGTTAACATCCGTTTTCATCTGAAGTTATTGCATCGGATTATGTGTCAAAATGAAACAAACAGCCAAATTAAGCATTCAACAAACTTAAGGATTATTTAACGAATCTTAACATTAAATCATGGAACGCATGGTAGACAGATCATAAACATTCTTTGAAATAGGATATCGCAATTGCACATTGTCAACAATCATGGACGAAAATGAGAGTATATAAAGGTGATGAAGAAAATTCTTGATATGATCAGATTGCACAGATCACAACCGTAATTGAATTTGGTTTTGACGTCTAGATGGAATAAAGCTTATCATCTGATAAGAACGAGGGGACGAAGCCCCCGAGTATAAATTATATTGTCGAACGGTTTGATGTTCTCTCTCTTTTGTATTTTAGGCAAAAATAACAACATGTTCCCTTTTGTCACAATATGAAACTCCAGAAAAAAAGTAACCAATGATTGGGCATCTGAATATGATATTTCTATCTCTATCCCTTTCTCTATCGTCACAATAGGTGTAATCTGTGGGGATATAAATTTCAACGAATTAGCTTGTTTTACTTGCCTTGTGAGAGTACAACAAATGTTCTCTATTGTAAGACTAATTTATATATAAATGTATATAAATTCCAATTCTTTTCTGACTGTTTCGAAATCAAAAATAGAAATCAACTAATAATTTATTTAGTATGTAAATCACACATTGATTTGTGGGTTATAGTTGAATATCAACCGTAAGAACATAATGTTAACCCGAGGCGAAGGTAAATACTGTTATAATAAGTTTTTCACTAAATCTA